TATTTTGTTAACATTATTTATTAAGGGTAGAATAGTCTTTTAAGTTTTCTTTATTTTAGACTATATATAGTCTCTTTGTATCTAGGTTTTATTCATTCAATTACATTATGCAGAATCAATAAAACCCTAGCCTCTTTTTCTTTTTCTCTTTGGATTGTTTAACACAACTAAATATCTTATCTTGACAAGTATAAATAGATAGCAGGAGCCGTATATACTCACCCTATACTTTTTCTACTTTCTATTCTATTCAACAATGAGTTTTTCAAAAATCATTTGTTTTTTGTGGGTTCACTGTTGATTTTATTATGTAGTGCTTTTGCTACTCAAGTTTCTCACGATGGACAAGCCATTACAATTGACGGCCAACGTAAACTTATTATCTCTGGCTCGATTCATTATCCACGAAGCACTGTCGAGGTACAATAACATAAAAATGATAATTCTAGCTATTTTGTTTGTAATCTTTTTTTTTTTTCTGTAAAATTTAGACGTGGTCGGATTTTATCAAGAAAGCAAAGGAGGGAGGACTAAATGCGATTGAAACCTATGTGTTCTGGAATGCACATGAGCCCCTTCGTCGACAGTACGATTTTAGTGGCAATCATGATCTCATAAGGTTTCTCAAGACGATCGAGGACCAAGGACTTTACGCCATTCTTCGCATTGGACCTTATGTTTGTGCCGAGTGGAACTATGGGTAACTACGTACATACAATTCATTTGTTTCCTTATTAATTATTTTTTTCTAATGTAAGATTATATTCCAGTGGATTTCCTGTGTGGTTACATAATATGCCTAATATTGAGATCAGTTCTGTTTTTATGGTAATTTTCTCGATTACTTTCACTTGCATATATATATTTTTTGATGTTTTTATTATGTATGATTGTAATGAGCGGTTATATAATTTTCAGAATGAAATGCAAAATTTCACTTCATTGCACTACAACAAAAATAGTCATTTGCAACACTAAAAAGGCAACATTTGTTGATAAATGTTGCTAAAAGGGTCTTTTGGCAATATTTTAGTAAGTGAATGTTGCCATAGATATTATTAAATACCTTTTGCAACATTTAGAAGAATGTTGCGATAGACCTCCTTTCTACAACGTTTACTGAGTGTTGCAGAATGTTTCACCTTTCGTAACGTTTGTTAAACGTTGCGAAAAGTGAGACCTTTCGCAACGTTTGACAAGCGTTGCCAAAGGTGACCTTTGACAACGTTTGTCAAGCGTTGCCAAATGTGAGACCTTTGGCAACGTTTGTCAAACGTTGCCAAAACTTTTGTGTTTTTTTAAATATACCCAACCCAAATTAACTCAAACCCTCATCTCACACAATCGTTCATTCCTCTTAGGTAATGTCTCCCCGTTCATTCTTCTCCAACCCTAA